TCTTAACTAACGCGCCACTCAGCCAGCCCTGTAAATAAACTATTTTTACTTTTACAGTTACCTTAAAATGGTGGTACAGTACAGTACAACTGGCATATAGGGGATTGCATGGAGTGAACTGACAAGAAGAGAGTTACTAGCTGGAGGAGAGAGGGTAGGTGGGAGATGGTGGAGCTGCCTTTCCTCTTGCTTCTGGACGCCCCAGGCTCGGATTGAGTACTGTGCTACTGTACGCTATCGCACTGTACAGTAAGCACACAGCAGCACAACTGTGACAATGTCCGGCAGACACATGAGCTACTTCCATGATTTGTTCGCATCTACGAATGTTCATAATGCGAGGTCCGTTCGTATCTGTGAAAGTTTGCAACTCGAATGTTTGTAAGTCGGAGACTAACTGTACTTATTTGCAATCTGTATACCTCTTTCGCTGAAATGTCTGTTCAGGTCTTTGGCCCATTCTTGAATGGGTTTGTTTGCTTTCTTATTGTTGAGTTTTAAGAGATCTTTGTATATTTTGGATAATAGTTCTTTATCAGATGTGTTTTTTTGCAAATACTTTCAGTCTACGGCTTGTCTTCTCATTCTTTTGACAGCATCTTTTGCAGAGCGTATGTTTCTGATTTTAATGGAGTCCACCTCATCGTTTCTTTTATAGATCACACCTTTGGTGTTGTATCTACAAAGTCACCACCATATCTAAGATTGTCTAGATTTTCTCCTACGTTATATTCTAGGAGATTTATGATTTTATGTTTTACATTTAGCTCTATGACCCATTTTGAGTTAATTTTTTATGAGGAGTGTGTTTAGATTCATTTTTTTGCACATGGATGTTCAGTTGTCCCCACACCATTTATTGAAACGACTGTCTTTGCTCCACTGTATTGCTTTTGCTCCTGTCAAAGATCAGTTGGCTCTATTTATGAAGGTCTATTTCTGGACTCACAATTTTGTCCCATTGTTTTATTTGTCTGTTCTTTCATCAATACCACACTGTTTGATTACTGTAGCTTTATAATAAGTCTTGAAGTTGAGTAGTATCTGTCCTCTAACCTTGTTCCTCTTCTTCAGTATTGGGCAGTCTGGGACTTTTGCCTCTCCATATAAATGTTAGAACCAGTTTGTCAATATCCACAAAATAGCTTGCTGGGATTTTTATTGGGATTGCACCGAATCTATGGATCAGATTGGGAAGAACATAGACAATCATGTCCTCTGTGAACAAAGACAGTTTTATTTCTTCCTTCCCAGTCTATAAATCTTTTATTTCCTTTCTTGTCTTATTGCATTAGCTAGGACTTCCAGCACCATGTTGAAAGGGAATGGTGAGAAGGGAGGTCCTTACCTTGTTCCTAATCTTAGTGGGAAAGTGTTTTGTTTCTGACCTTTAAGTATGATATTAGCTGTAAATTTTTGGTAGATATTCTTTATCAAGTTTAAGAAGCTCCCCTCTATTCCTAGTTTACTGAGAGTTTTTATCATAAATAGTGTTGGATTATGTCACATGCTTTTTCTGCATCTATAGAATCATGTGATTTTTCTTACGTAGCCTGTTGATGTGATAGATTACATGGACTGATTTTTTCCACATTGAACCAGCCTTGCAATTCTGGGATAAATCCCACTTTGTCGTGGTATATAGTTCTTTCTATACATTGTTGGGTTTGATTTGCTAATATTTTTGAGGCGTTTTGCCTTTGTGTTCATGAGAAATATTGGTTTTTAGTTTTCTTTTCTTGTAATGTTTTTGGAATTAAGGTAATGCTGGCCTCATAGAATGAATTAAGGGATTGTAGAGAATTGGTATAATTTCTTCCTTAATTGTTTGTTAGAATTTACCAGTGAACCCATCTGTGCATGGTACTTTCTGTTTTGGGAGGTTATTAATTATTGATTCCATTTTTTACTAGATATAGGCCTATTGTGCAGTGTATTTTTCATCTCAGAAATTGTAGGAAGTTTGATTTCAGTTTTGTTTTTTGTTTTTTTAAAGATTTTTGTTGGGGAATTGGGGGGATGGAAACAGTGCTGGGGAATTGGGGGAAGGGGAACAGACAAGTTGCTGTTGTTTTGTTCTTCAG